GATGCAAACGTCTTCAAGTAGTGCACGAAAAGTGTGCCTGTAAATTTTGAACACGAGTATTTTAACAATTCAAATAGCTGCATTCACGACAGCACTCTAAAATTAAATCTGTGGTTGTTGTTATGTGAAACGAAATATTGAATGGCAATTTCAATTGTGGGCTTTACAACTGCGAGAGTGGCAGCAATTGTACGTCCGCGACGGACAGCAAAAGTAGTTTCTACGCCCCTGTATCCACGCCAACTACACCCCCATTTGTTTACGCACGCTATTGGGTCAAAGGAGGAATCATCGCAAACGATCAAGACAGTATCCAAGTCGTACTGGATAGCTATTCGGGCCTTTCTGGCACACAAATTAAATTGGGCTTGCTGTAGGAATGGTTGCATTTAAATCTAAACTACAGCTTCCGAACCGGCTGATGTGGGTTCCGAACTTGACAGACCAACTTCCAATCGGGTAACGAATTAACGCGCCAGTGCACTCAAATACAGCGGACAAAGCACACAGAGGCGGTTTCCATTAGACACGCGATTCATTCGTTCGGCTTCAATGACGACATCTTGTTTGGCAATGGACGCGTTTGCGAACTCGCATCTGCGCATCTATCAGTTCCACCCACTTTTGGAAAAGGCTGACATGACGTGCGCAGTAATTTCCAATTCACTACTATTCAACTATCCACACCGATATCTCATACTGTGATATATCTGACGGTTGCTTCACCCGGCAAACTCACTTGGTCCCACAATGCGCTTTCCAAACATCCCAGTTTTCCGAACAAAGAAACTGCATCTACATTATCTCAGGCTCATCATGAAAGAGTATGGCGCAACGAATACCGGCACGAAAAGGACCATAAGTTGAACATATCACTCGGGCATGGTTCCCGGGAAGCCGGTCCCGTGTCACTCCCTTGCGCTAGACATCAGATATCGCTTCAACCCCCGTACGAACACACAAACTTACATATGTGCATATGTATTTTGAGAACACTGTGAATACTCACACGTCCCTACGCGCTGCCAGTGACGTGCTATACAACCAGATACGTAAAAAATAGGCCAGCAATGTGATCAAAACATGTCATTTGTTCTAGACAATTAGGAAAATGTACATGCATATGTAAAATAGCATTACGACATCCCACAACGCTGATATCCTTGGTGGTTGCTCCGGCAATGCGTTCAACTTCCATTCCATCTGCGTCATGAGTTTCTGGGGATCCCTGGCCAGAAGTTCCTCGTAGTGCACTCTCATCTCATTCTTCACTCTGACCTTCACCACCTGCCAAACATTCTCGATCGGATTAAGGAACGGAGAGTACGGGCTCAATATCAGGATGGTTACTCCCTCGTATCCATCTACTGACGACAGTTCTTCCAGTCGTGTGTGACATGGTGCATTATCACATACCACGACAACCTGCCGGAGCTCTATCTCCCGTTTCTGGTTGTCTAACCAGCTTCGCAATCATTCGAGAGATAGGGGACCTGTGAATGAGCCTCTCCGCGTGGTCATCGACACTTTCCCTTCCATTGTGAGTGTACCGTTTGAATGAAAATTGAGGCCTCTACCGTTGTCAACTTTGCAACAGGCCCTCACTCCTCTGGGCGCCTGACCACGAGTACGTTTGCAGTAAACGTTTAAGTTCGCTTCGTCAATCCGAATGAAGAACTTGCCATTGCCCTCAAGTTGCAGAAACTGCTAAACGAATTCCCTGCGTATCCCTTTGGTTTGCTCATTCTTCATTTCCTCGGGAACCTGATAGATGTTCTTCATAGTTATCAATCGACCATCCGGATGCCGTGCGATTGTTGACTTCGAAATGTGCTTGTCCATTTTTGCTCGTACTCGTACTCCCATTTCCCGTAGCGTAAGAGTTGAGTCCCTTGCGATCCAATCCAGCATGTCATCTACGTCTTCCTCCGACAGAATCCGCTTACGACCGCGCGCCTGTGTAGTACTCGGCTCCTGATCAAGAGAACGACGAATCCAGGACTAGGCTGTCTGATATTTGACGTTGTTCACAGTTGTCATCAGCTGCCAGTCATCCCCGTTGACGAAGGCGCCCAAAACTCGGTCACGAATGTCTGATGAGATACTCTGTCGAACGCGAGAACGCATGCTGACGACGTTAGTATCACAGACATGGTTTCGGTCGTGCGCTTATGTTCCAGCTGTTCATTGCTCTCAGACCAATTGTGATCCACCGTTTCGGACGTGGGGGGGGGGGCGCATACAAGCCCGTTACACCGCCGAAGTACATGTCTCTAAGGTTCATTCACAAGTCTCACCCAGTCAACGGGCAGCGCGCTCACCTTCCCAGACTAACGCACCGAAGCTTGGCATCTGGCCAATGAGAACACAGTTAGGTCAGAGGATTGGCTCTGAGCGGCTGACGAATCGCGCAAGGTTTTGCAAAATTTGGACTTTCTTTGCCAACACTTGGACTTTTTTTGCAAAATTTTGGACCTTTATGCTACTTTTTGAGAAATGTCCGATGAAATAGTAGCATATCAATAGATTTTAGCGGAGCGATATACTGCCAATCAAAGTTTTCTGCAATATCAAGTGCCTTTTCTTCGGAGGGTAGCATGTGGAATTCCTCCTTTTCAAACAGGAGACTGTCTAATTGGGACTGCCTAATATGCGTCGAATTTTCTTAAGTAACAACGTGCACCAACGTTTCACTGCACACCATGCTCTTCTGAATCTTTGGTATCTATGGTGTCTACACCTGGATATATCCATACACGTTTTATGGAGGACACCTTGATGAGAATGCTGCTATCGATACGAGTGCTCGCCTTTCCAGGAATTGACGACATCCACACAAAACTTTCGTTTCAGCGGCTAATATTTTGGCTGAACCTATGGCGCGGCTGTTCCAACGCTGTATTGAAGAGGCGCGCGTCCCTGCAATGTGAAAACAAGGGATAATATCTCCCGTTTACATAGGGAGCAGTGGTTCCGATGCAGCTAACTATGGAGTACTGATACTTCTGCAATTATTAAAAGTTATGGAGGCTATCATTACTGATGCACACATGTCTTATCTGGACGGCATTACTCACATTGCTTAGCAGAAACACGGCTTCCGCCAGAATGGGTCATGCGCAACCAACCTATTGTTGGCACGCGACAGCTGGACCCAAACGGTGGCTATTGGTGCGGAAGTTGATGTGGTTTACCTTGATTTCTCTAAGGCATTCCACCGGTTAGACCGTCGTATCCTTCTCTCCAAATTTCTAGGATGTGGTATTGGGGGCCCTCTCCTGGGGTGTCTGCAATTTTCTGTCGCACAGGCGTTTGTAGGTGAGAGTACGAGAATCCATGTCAGAACCAATTCACCTCGAATACGGTGTCACAGGGTTCTGTACTGGAGCTTCGACTATTCTTGGATTTAATAAACGATCTAGTAAATCAAATTAAGTCAAACTGTTTACTCTGCGTCCTTGACATCAAACTTTGGTGAGTGAGCAAAGGTCCAGAAGACCGTATCCAGCTTCGAAACGACGCTGACAAGATTTATGGATGATCGGTCCACAATGTCCTTTACTTCAATGTGGATAAATGTTGAGTGCTCGAATTAAGGCACCAAAAGGTTCACCCAAAGTAACTGGAGTACCAGTAGCTGCAACACTATTCTCTCGAAAAGGATTACGGTGTGTTGGTCCAGGAAGGTCTCGGCTGCTCGGAGCAATCCAAAAGGGCATCGAATAAGGGGATCCAAATCGTGGGCCTTTTACGGAGAGCTTTCGGGCAATTCGAACCGTCTATTTTCCGCCAAAGACTTCCCGCTATCATACGCACTGATGTTGAATATGCAATTCAAGCATGGCACCCATGTCTAAAGCGGGATCTCACAGCCTTGGAGATTCCCCAACGTCGGGCGGCCAAAAATGTCAAGGGGATGCGCCTCAGAGTGCTTGGCATTTTCAGTGGACGTTGTCGACGTTTACATAGGGACCTAATCATGGCTTGCCAGGTATTAAACAACACTAATCACCCGTGCTATCACCTGTTGAAACTAAGTCACAAAAACCAACTCTGTGATTATCATCTGAAATCGGCACAACAATACAGTCGGTTCGAGTCTCGAAGAAACTTCTTCTCGGTACGTGTTTGCCACACGTGGAATACCCTCTCAGAAGCTGTTATTTCATCCCTGGCGTTAGCCATGTTCAAAACATGTGTCGACAGTGCACCGGCCATACTAAACCATATCACGTTGTCCAAACGACACATGCAAACAGCAGGAAAACAAAAACAAATCATTCCTTCTCCTGCTCCATTTTTGTGCGGAAACCATAGACGATAACCTTGGATTATACATGAAATCAAGCGCCGATTGCTCATACGGGAACGTTGTAATCGGCAAGTTCACAATTTTTGGTTGTTCACCATTTCCTATTCCTAATTTTCCTTTATTTTGCTCACCCCCCTAATCGATCATCCGGTGGGATATGTCAAACTTCGGCTTTTTTAACCATTCACTTTGCTTATAGACGAGGACTTTGGGACGCGAAATATTTGCTATAATTTAGGCAGCCTTACCGGGATGTGAAGATTGTCGACTGACACTGTTCATCATTGTTCTACCGGAGTGTATTCAACCGAAAATTCTGAAGTAGTATCAGTTAAGAATCGCAATATTACACTCTTTGCCATTTACCAACTCCGCCAAAGTAGGTCTGCAGCTTTTGAGATGGCTATTCGCTGCTAGACTCAGTCAGACAGCCACCACATTTCCAAGGAAGTGTTCTCCTAGATGTGTGGTGTCTGTCTGGCTAAGTTTAGTTTGGAATCTGAAAAACACAATATTTATCCTTCTGCTTTCTTTGATCTACAGTGGCGAATGCAAATCCGATGGAGGCCAATTCATTCATTCCCTTGAGCATATTCACTCACCCCATCGATAGCGGCTGTAGTCAAGTAGAGTTGAACGCACTGACAAACACCGTGAACGTAGCCCAGCACGCAATGAGCTTCTTTTAATGCAAATATATGCTATTCTCCAACAGGTCACAACTAATCGTCTCTCCACACCAGTCATCAAAATGTTCACAGCGCAAGACTACATCGAACCGACTGCTTATAACGTACATTGGAAGAACGTTGGGGGCAGTACAGAGATAGATGAATACAAAATCAGTGTGCGGCCAGTGGAGGTGGATTACTCAATGGGTAAGCAAAAGTACTACAAAAATACACATCTGATAGATCTACTAGATAAGCTAAATTGCCATCGTCTCGTGATTGGAAATCGTTTTACTCTGTCTATTTCATACACACTGAACGTCAATCAACTTGCACGGAGACTGTGCAACTCTTCTTTTCTGGGACCATATTCTGTGCAATTTCTCCACGCATCATAGATTTTTGTTATTCCGTCATCTTAATGTTACTGGTTGACAGCATTTACACGGCAACGGAAATCCTTTCTTCTTCTCATCGTTCGCACATCATTGTTAACGGCAAATCCGTAAATGTCTGTTGCGCGAACGAATTCAGATGCTCAAAGATTTAGCGTTTATCAAGTAGTGCAGATAACACTAAATGTTTCGCTGCCACATGACCACATGGATGATCGGTAATTTCTTTATCACTCAGAGTACGCTGAACAACGGAAAGGAGGAGGAGTGGGAGTGACTCGTTTAGAGCAGACCACAATGATGGATACTTATTCGGTCGATTCGTGTTCCAGGACCTGGTTCGCTTTTGCCTAGCAAGCGCTCCTATAACAAGCCACACATGTCTGTTTAACAACATTGCGACGCGGCAATTGTGACTCGCCACCAACTAAAGTCACTGCCCTTGCTTACTCGAATAATCCTATCAAACCACCAATAATCTGAATCCACAGTCGCCAAACATTCCTGTAGACATTTGCGACGCGATCGAACGCCATCAAACGAGCATTTAGAGACACAAACATGGTTGGCGGCATCCGGTTTCGGATTTGCCTGTCACTGTGACAAGCCACAGGACGCCTGCGCCTACAGAGGGACCATGGATGGCTTGCGCTGCACCACTTACAGCTCCAACCACACACCCCATATCCAGAGTAAACCCGAAGGAATAAGACCGGTAGGCATGCGGATGGGAACCACGGTTCATCAACGGAGCCGGCCCACACTCCTTCACAGGCAAACACAAGCACGCTGTATTTGGGGAATCAAGCGCACACAAGGCGGTGGCTGGACCGTAGTCCGCTCCACACTGAGTGCATGGAACCGCTCTTTGAGCCTAGCACGGCCACAAGAACCGTGCTCCCCGTCCCCTCCAGCAACGACCAACTGTCTCCTGGAGCCAGTATGAACGATGTAGTGGGTAATAGACAGGTAGGCACCTTGTCAACATACACATCAAACGCAACCATACCAGGGATATCAAACAACAGCCATTCACTTTAAACGACAAGCTGAAATAAAATAAATCCAATAATGCATACAGATACGGTGGCATAACTCTTCGCTAAATTACCATATGAAGTAAGTTGGTTAGCAACAAATCCGTGATAAGTAAGAAATGTCCACAAGTTACTTAAAATGCTACAAACGCAAAAAAATTACCGAAGATAAGCGCAATTAGTGTAAGCAACGTGGCCAGTTAATAGCACATTATTCAGGGAGGCAGAACAAACCAAATAAAACGGAATGAAATTTATCCAGCTTAAAAAGACCTAGTTTAAGTGTAAGTTGGTTTAGCCCAACTGCGGTGAAGAAGCATCAAGAATGCAACATCAGCCTCAGCATGGGGCACACAGACACAAACAACATACCTACATACCTACCTGACGACGTTTATGAATTCACATATATGAAAATCCTATTATACTATTGCGCATTATTGATCAGTTGTACTATTACTATGATCATGCCTTTAAAGGCATGCCTCGCGTAGCCGAGAATTAAACATTTATTTATTCAGTTAGTTAACTCACAAGAAGTTCGGTAAACTGTAAATGATATATTAAAATGACTGGGGCTTTACGCCACGTACTGTCTAATCCAAATGCCGTTACATCACTTTACATTTTGTCCATTTCAGGAGAAGTGAATGGTAGGCCAATCGGTGAATGGGTCGAATACTCACCAGTTCGACCAAACTGCGCGAGTGATGATCAACGCAGGGAAGCTGAAGCGATTTGCCAATATCGTGTGGAGAACCTGAAGCCGGACACAGCCTACGAATTGGAGCTGTCTGGTCATAACAATATGGGATTTTCCGAGGCTCAAAGAATCATATTTCGCACGTCTTCTCTATCCGGGGCCACTGGAAGGATGCTGAACATGCCATCGTATCTGCAGCACACGTCGAGTGCACCATCGCGGATGAAAGCACAGTCCATGGTGCATCAAGTGCTGTTAATTCTATCGCTTATCCACGTGTGCAGCATAATTTAACTGGGGAAACACAATGAATTGCCCAAAACCAAAACTAGATAGATTATTATCATTCTACAGCAGGGCACGTGACGTGCAACCACTTGGAGCCGCCGCAAGCAATTGTGCTTCACGTGTTCGCTCGATCGCTCGAGCTCAAGCTGTGAAGGGAAACTGGCAGAAGATAACGCTTATTCGGAAGAAGGCCAAATCCGAACCCGATATTTAATTTTGAAAGCCTTGCATTTAAATACTTCATTCTTTTAGGATATAATCATGAAAAGTCGTTCAGAATTGCACAACTAATGAACCATTCCCACGACTCCAGAGATATACCTTTTATTTACTTACTATTCATCGAAGATTTGAGTCGCATTTTGAATTTATTTCTTATATTACTTATTATTCGCACTGTATGCATAGCGTACATAGACCGAACTTGGAAATTGTAATCCATTGCATCCACTGAATAAATTTGCTGAGGACTTTCGTAGCTATTTGCATACAGCACGAGCGTAGTTGTTAAGGAAGTCACATCATAGAACAGTGGCGCTTCGCAATTCAGAGGAACGTCTCCGACACAGTCTGAGCATCCATGCAGTAAGTAAACGGTAATAAACAATGATGTTATACGGGTTAAGAAGCACTGCTTTACAAGCCGCTTTGAGTGGTCTAGTGGGCTATCGAAAAATGTTAATGAAAACAATGCAGTTACTGGTCCTACTGTTTATGTTATCTAATGCAGCAGCTCTGCACTCCGAGTGTTGCCATACCTTCAATAGGTGAATAGATAAATTCAAGGTATTTCCCGGGAATAGGATGAAGAGAGGTGTCAGGTAACAACATGTAAGTGGTGGAGTGGGTCATCCAACCGACTTTTAAATATGGATAGGGTAGGTGCAGAAACAACAGATTCGGGGAGAGCTTTCCCTGGTAAGTGGAATCTGACACTACATATGGTGTTACTTGGTGAACATCCGAGGACAACGTGTAAACTAAACAGCCAGTTCAATCCACTGAACTAGACGGGGTAAATCCGATGTGTTTTATGCTCAGGGGGATTCGAAGCTTCGATTGAAATTACCGGAGAATTTCTCATGAGTCTGCAGCTGCACCCACGGTAGGTGGGTGATTCAAATGTTTCCCAGATGAAAAAAAGCTTTCAAATGTTAAGCACCGACAGAGGTTGTAAAATTTCCCTATTCCATAAACTATTCAATGTGAATGATTTGTGGACCGCGACTTTTGAAGTCGCAACTGGGATCACCCGGGTAATTGATTTCAGTAATGAAATGCGTAGGCAACAATCGAGACAAAGTACACAATACTACAACTTATATCTTATACCCCAGTGGATCGTCAAGTCGCATAAATGATAAAAGTCGAGTGTTCCACGGCCAATAAAAGTTGTAAGAAAAACACTTCCGTCGGCATTCCAGAAGACTGTATTGGGTGGGTGTTCATGGGCTTGTGACGTACATGTATAGTTTTGCACTTGTCCGCCTCGAACGGAAGTAGATTTGGTGGTTAGAATAAATCAAATGTGCCAACACGGCGCTCATCACGGTTTTACTCTCACCATTGCGTAGACTAGCTGGGCAATGTTCATGTATTCGCTCAGAGAGCCTCCTGATGGTTCTTCCGATGTATTTTGCTGGATTTGCGTTTGACCGTTCAAAAGCACAATCTGTCTCCCTGTAACAGATCGTGCTCTTCCTGACTACCGATCACCTGCCATATATTGATGTCGTCGGTGCGAGTTCTTTGATGAAGATCTAGGATAACGGTTGCTCCAATGCTGGTCGTTGTGGAACACTGCAGTCCACATAATTATCATCAGAAAATGAGTCAGGGATCCGAACGTGTAACATCCATTGTGGAAGGGAATTTTCGACCCTTTCAAGAATAGGGTTCCAAAATCCTTATGTGTGTAGCTTTTGTAGAATTGTGCTGTGGCCTAATTGGTTGAGCGCTTTAGGATAAGTCGATACGAATGACATCATTGCCGAACTCACTACCGGCTGTTTGAGTTCAAATGCCACACTCAGTCATTAGATTGGTATTATATGACTGACGCTGACGGAATCCGTGTTGCCTTGGCGTTGTGATGTTCCATCATAAAATATCCCACCAGCGCCTCAGCACTGATCAACTCCGTGAACTTTGCAAGCAACGGGTGAAGAATTACTAGGAGATAGTCGGCGTGTTCGGAACGGATACCTCCTTTAAATATCGGATAATGATATACTGCTTCCACAAGTTAGGAACCTACTGTTTATCCAACTATTTTTGATGGAATCGAGATAATGATTCGGCTATCTCGCAGCTTCCATCTGCAGTACTTTGGTGTGAATATTGTCAAATCCTGAGAAACCATGGGTGCGCAACGATAGCCGCTTCCTCGAAATGGTCGCCGAATTAAAAGTGACGTGTATAAATACTGTTGTCTGGGACAGGTGAATCAAACTATGGCCCGCGAAGTCAGTCCATCCGATAAAGCGTATGGAATACAAGACGCCGTTACACAATTTGCTTTGACGATGCATTTCGTGTTGTTCGTGAGCTTATACTGAACGCTAGTTTAAGCCATCTCATGGTTGTTACTTGTGACACCGTACCAACGTACTGTTAGTGACCTCACATTGTTGGAACATTGATGTGAGTGATCACTCATGAAACTCATTCATGCGTGCATCTTATCGTGTTCCTGTCTATTTCATACCTCTGTGTTGCAGTTTTCCCTTGGTCAGCTCCATTGAAGCACGTGTCATATGCAACGCCGCTTAGTAGGACATCACTAGTTTATGTATGTGTCATCTTGGCGCCACACTTGCTAGCTAATTGGGAAGTACTTCAGAATTTTAGTAAGAAATTTGTCTGGATTCGCAAATTTTGGAGGATTGGGCTGTGGTGGAAACACTTTGCTCAGGCCTTTAAATCGCATCTCTTCTTATATTCCGGATATTACCGATTACAAGCCGATGGTTTTTGGACAACTGTTCATTTCCGTAGTGCGAGATCAGCTTACATAGAGGTTATGCGCAATTTGAAAAATTGTACCTGCCGATCCACCCAGGGGTTCATTGCAATCCTCTGCCCATATCTCCCCTTAGCACCAACTGCTAGCGAAGGGGATTTGAAGTGTCTCACGATGTCCACGAAAATCTGCGGGTAGCGTGGCTATAATTATACACGTTATTTTGTGAAACAAATTCTCGGTATGTTGCATATTTACTTTCGCGACGGATGACATTAACAGAAACATAGGGAATATACAGAATCAAATGCCAAGACACACAATAACATAGGGGAAATCACGACAGGAAATCCCTTACTGGTAGATTTTTGGGCGGTCTGCTGATATAGGGAATTACGACTGTGTACCAATTTGTTATTTCAGTTATGTTGTCCGCCTATCCATATATATATATATATATATACATATATATATATATATATAATCGAATAGAAGCCGTCTATGGATGGACACACAGTATAACTTTGCAATACCGTATTTGAATTCTTATGTTTTTAGTACCGCAGGTATTTTGAAATTCACATGTACCCAGGTGAGATGTAATTCAATCGATACCCACTAATTTTTGGTTTTTCGGGTTATTCCATGGAATATTTATTCTGTTTGTAATTAAATCTCATTTTATGGTCCAGTTCTTCTGCATTTCTGTCTAAGTTCAGGCTATTAGGAAAGGAAAAGCGGTAAAAGAGTGTCCCATCTCTTTGTTTAATTACACATAGTTCACGTTCTGGCTCGCAGCCACTGTGCATATTGATTATGTGACCCAATCTATCCATTTTACCGGTTATCCGTCCCGCGAATGTTATTTTCTGCGGCTACCATATTCATAGTTATCCAGCCCGCCATGCAACATTTTTGGCGAACCCTGGTCTGAGGGAATGGGGCAAAGAATGTGACATACTGGTGGCGCGTCTGAATATTGGAGCATTTTGGAGGTTTGAGGCGTTGGCTGCATCCTCTGCGATTTGAGCACGGCCGTTTGTTGAGGTAAGTGGTGAACACCATGCTTCATTTCCGGAGGCTGTTCGCATGTTTGTTATTACAGCCAAACCCGTTCAATGCGACCACTCAAGGGATCGAAAAATGCTTGCCTTGGACAGGTGTTCACCATAGACAGGCTCATGCATAGGCGACTCATGATCGACTTCACATGAGTGATAACGTTTCAACTCGATAACTTGTTCTGTACACCGACGGCTTCTATACTTAAATTTAACTTCTAATCAAGGCAACAAGAGTAGTAGTATATAATATGGGATATATGAGTAATAAGAATACAATAAAATCACCATTTATAAGACAATTTAAAAACTGACCAAATCATCGAAATCTATAAGCTTTGGAAATATCCTATACACACACTGCTGATAGAAAACATCAGATGAAAAATATCACGTCTGTTGCTTGGCAGCTGAAATGCAAGATGAATTTAGTTTTTCCCTTTGCGTTCATAATAAGTTCAAGCATTGCAATGTGTCCGCTTTGTATTGCGCAGGAGCGTAAAATATCAACAGCACCTTGTGTGTCTGTGAATGTATACATGTTCACAACGTCCATGGATTCCTGTTCCTGTTCGTCGTGTGATTCAGTATTCACACCCGCAGCTGCTAAAATTGAAGTGACAGGCAGGTCCCAGTTTATTTCTTTTGTGTTACAAGTTCGATAAAAATCAACCATATGGCTGTCAGCCAGTTGGTATCCAAACATGTCCTTTGAAAGAGTATCCAAAGCAAAAATGGTTAAAGGAGGTACAATTTGCTTATATGCCTCAGGTCCAGTTCGCATCACTCTCTCAGAATCTATTTCTGCAGGACAAGGAAACCCCGTTTTACAAAAACATTTAGTGATTGTTTATTTCCCCACCTCTTTTTATGCAACAGCTATCCATAACGCAAGTTCCGATAAGTGTACTCGTTTTATGAGTTCAGTTTCGGACATATCTTTGGGATTCCGGGATCGTAATAAGATGCTGAAGCTGTTTCTTCCTAGACTTTAATTTAAGCGACTGAATGACACCCTAATCGAGGGA